CCCCCCCCCGGACAACGGAAGTAACGCGAACGGAAGCGCATAATAATATTCGTATTACACACGCGCCGTAATAATAATAATAATAATAATAATAATGCGGCGCGGAGGCGACGACGTTGCCCTGACGACCGTCCCCATCCGGCCGAGAATCGCCTCGTCGCGACTTGTCGTTATTATTATTATAATCGTTTACGTATGTACGCGCGCGCGCATCGTCATATACGATTCCCGTTCACGGCGAATCGTTTTCAGTCGGGCACGCGTACAACGTACGATTCGGGCGTCGTTATCGATAAAAAAATAATAATAATAATAATAAATCAATCGATCGATCGATCAATCGTCAGACGATAACCGTTATGCTTCCACGACGTTTGTCCGCAGTGCTCCGTCTTCGGCCAACACTATAACGGGCCGTGGCGATTTCTCTTGTCCGCGTCAGTTCGCACAGTTCGCGGACGGAACGTTTATGTTGCCTGAAATCCGCGCTCGGTTTAAACCAAATGTGTCCGTTTGAACCGTCAGCGCATCTCGGCTACTCCCGTTACTGTTTATTGTTAATTTTGTAATTTATACTGTTTTTTTTGTATTTGTTTTTCGTATCCTCTTGCGTGAGCCGTCGAAATTATTATTATCGAGTCGAGCAGATTATTATTGTACGTGTGTTATTTGTCTTTCGTTTTGTCGGTTTAAGACCCGTTTAACGCGCACGAATAAACACGTAATGCCCGCGGAACGATAATCATGTTGCCGCGGGATTCGCGTACGATATTTGTCATGCTCGGCGTACAATGCCCGCGCGCGCTATTCCGGCGCTCAGAGTCGTCGGATATTCAATCCGTTATTGGCGTGCCGACACACACGCACACGTACCGCGACAACGTTGCCGCGCCCCGTAAAACGACTCCGGCACAACTCCGGTTATTAGACAATACAAATCGCGGCGCGACGTTGCGGCGTACCGTGTATTGTTATACTTACTCGCCGACAACAAACCGGCGGGACGGAAATTAATCAATCGCAAATTGTTTTCCGCGGCGGCGTATTGTCTATTTGTTCGCGAACGGCCGGAAAATTGAAAAGCTACACGATAGCGACACGACCGGCAAATAACATTATCGTGGCACACCGACGTCAAACGGACGTCTGTATAAAATATAAAATACCGGGTTGCATTTCGGTAGCCGTTTTTTATCGCGTCGAATTATAATATTAAATAACCGCAATGTTCGCCGGTAGATTGAAATCGTAATGCTAAGCCGGTTGGATAGGTTTTTTTTTTTTTTTAACGATTTGCTGAATACTGAATAAATCCGTCGATTCGGCTCGATACGCGACGACGGAACAAAGTCAATCGCTCAAAATAAATAAATATTATATTATTATATGTAAACTTCGTTGATTTGCCTGTTTTTTTTTTTTTTTCTGTACTTAAACAAATAATAAACGAAATTTACTTTCCGAGAAAACAAAATTGGATTGTGTAATGTATAAATCGGAACTAAGTTGTTTGGCTTGCAATTTTTTAATGGAATATTTTATATATTTTTTCGGCGTAAAAAAATTAAAATAAATCGAGAATGGAAAAAAGTTTAGATTCACGCGGCAAGGCGGGTTTTTCTCTTTTTTTTATTCGGTTCTCGTTGAATTTATTTCTACACGTATATAACATTATATTTAACGAAATCTTTTTGGAATATTGTTTTTGATAAGATGTCACTACGCCGACGACGGCATTCTCAACTATACACTTGATCCGCGTAAAGACTGTCGTCAAGACTCTCACGAATAAAGCGACCCTCCGAAAACGTTATACTCGTATATTGTCAGGGCGATTTCACAAGCGCGGATTCAAATTCTGATTTTTGGGATTTTCAAGTGTAGTGTAGTGAAAGACGTAATTTTCGGAATACTTAAATTTTGCATGACACACAAACGCTATCCAGTGGCAGTATCGACTTTGATTATTCGAATGAAAATTCGGAAAACGTCTCCGATCCCCTTTGAGCGAAAAATTAAATCTCGTTTTTCGTTCGTATTGCCGTGCCCCGTGCAATATTTTTAAATCGAATTTCATGTGCGGTGTAAATAATCAAATTGTAATGAAACAGTGTAACCGGTCGAACAGTAAAATAATTGTAGCCCCGGTAGTTTATCACGATTTCGAATACGCGTAAATAACGTATTGGGTTTTTGTTCGCAGGCGAAGACTGTTCGCGCAACTACATGATGGACGAGGACGACGAGGACATCAGCGTCAGCGGCGACGGTTGCGGTAGCGACATAAGCGACGACCGGGACAAGGTCAGCGTCGACGGGAGTTCGTCGACCGGCGGCGGAGGCTGCGCGAAAAAGTCAAAGTCTTCCGACCACTGCGGCGGCGGCGGCGGCGGCGGCGGCGGCGGCAGTGGCGGCGGCGGGGGTGGTGGTAGCGGCGGCGGCAGCAGTTCGAAGAACGGCGGCAGCGGGAAACCGCGCCGGGCCCGGACCGCGTTCACGTACGAGCAACTGGTAGCGCTGGAGAACAAGTTCAAAACGACGCGGTACCTGTCGGTGTGCGAACGGCTCAACCTGGCGTTGTCGCTGTCGCTCACCGAGACCCAGGTGAAAATATGGTTCCAGAACAGGCGGACCAAGTGGAAGAAACAGAACCCCGGGCTGGACGTCAACAGTCCGACGGTACCGCCGCCCGGGCCGCCGGGGCCGTCGGCGACCGGCGGGCCGCCGTTCTTCCACCCGCTCGCCTATTCCGCCGCGCACCACTACCAGACGCAGAGCTATTCGGCCGCCGCGGCCGCCGCGTACTTTCACCACCTGGGCGCCCATCATTCGACCATCGGCGGACACCACCCGCCGTCGTAATCCGGCGCCGGCCGCCCGCGCCGAAATGCCGCCACTCAGATCTCAATAAACATTTATGCAATTTAATAGCCGCGGTGTAGCGACGACGGCCGCCGGAGAACGATCGACCCAACGGCGCCGTCCGTCACGTACGTGCCGGGCGGCCTTTCAACGTTCGATCTCGTTTTCCCTGCGAACACGGCCGCGTCGAAAACGCCGTCGCGGCACACGCGTCATTATTATTATGTTTGCGTGCGCGGCGCAAACCGCGTCCGTGTCCGGGCGAACGCTCAAAACGACGCGTCCCCGAGTCCACGGCCCGCGCTCGACCGGGAAACAACGGCGAACGACGTTTGTGCGGCGGCGCACCGTTTACGGACGACCCGATCCGAACATTCGGCGCACGTCGGACTACGAGTCTTCCACAGATATTCCGAAAAACGTTTCGCGGACTTGTCGAACCGGCGGTCCCGGCGTGTTCCGGTCGCGCGGACCGTTTTCCGAACGTTTGATCCGTCAAATGGGTCAAACGTTCGGACGCCGTTGGCATTTTCGACTGCGCTCGCGGACGGTCTCTTTCGATCGGCCGCGTCCGCTTCACTCGGGGTAAAGTTCGTTTCGAACGAAACACCGCGTTCAACCCCGCCGCATTAATATTAATACAATGTCGTGTATTTCGGAACACATTGGCACATAAAACAACCACTGTGAACTATAGATAGCCGACTGCCGTGACGATATAATACGATCGAGTACCGTAGATCTGGGGGATACGATCGCCCTCGCCCGCCCGCCCTCCCCCCCCTCTCCACCGTCCCCGTTGTGTTGTCCTGGACGCGCCCCCCGTTAGAGGTAAGAGGTCGCGCCGCACAGACCAACGAGGTAAATCCTATTGATAAACCTCACGATTTCGATATATTCTGTTTCGTTGCCAAGCGAACGATACATAATTATATACACAGTGACGATTTGTGATCAATTTCAAATGTTTTTCGTATTATTCCACAGCCGGTAAACGTTTACGGCGGACGGCGGGTTAACCGACAATATGTGCTCTCTTCTTGTTTAGATATGGCTGACAAGCATCAAATCCACTCGTAGATCAGTCGGCTGTCTATAGCGGTTGTTTTATGCATCTGTGAGCGGAAACTGTTGGATTTTTATACGGGCGGAAACGGATCGTTATAATTATTATTATACAATATCGTATACAAAGTCACAACTGTATATGAACCGCTAAAGGCGGAAAGGGCACGCGTTTGAATTTTAAACATTTTCGAGAAAGAAAATTATACTTAATATTATATCTGTAAAAATTGAACCGGTACGTTTCAGAAGTCGTTCTATGAAATATTGTACCGAACCGTAGGTGCTTAAGGGTTGTTTTTTTTTTTTTTCGTCTTTCTTGAAAAATTTTAAAATTTGTTTACGCGCCCTTTTCGCATTTAGCGATTCATACATAGTTTGAACGCGTGTCGCATTATCATTATTATTATACTATCGTCGTTATTTCGTTAATCTGTTTTTATGTTTCTCGTTAATATTATTTATAAGTACGCAATATCGCACTCCCGAGACTATATATGTATACAGAGTGATTAAAATTGTTTTATTTTATTTTTTTCATCGCGATCCGACCGATTTCTCGGAGGATTTTAAGTAAATCTAATTTCTGGTTTTTTTTTTTTTTTTTTTCAATTATTTCGTTTAAGCTTTGTTTTAACATTGTTTTCAAACTGTTACCCCTACTCCTTATAATTGAAATAAGTCTAAATTGTCTGAAACTGAAAAAAAAAAAAATCAAAATCAACTCTACTCAAAATCTTCGTTGATATAATATAATCGTAAAAAAAAAAAAAATAATAATAAAAAATTTAAAAATTCGCTTTGTATACATATACACTGTGGCAGAGTATTCACTATTATTATATGTAATAATAACAACAGTTTTTCCCGTCAGTTTATTGTTATTAAATTGTATACATTTCAAACCGGTAAAACGCATCGCAACATTATATAAACATTATATAGATCTGTTAAACAAAATATAACAATATAATAATAATACACTATATTTTTTTACACGTCGTTATCATACCTTACACTGTAAAAACAATATTGTATCGTCGCCGTTACGCAAAAAGTAATCTGGTGTATAACCCCCGAATGCCTTGTTTCATCCATACATACACGTACAAACAAATAAGGGTCCGCCGGATGATATAAATATATTTTAGGAATCACTGAACACGTACGGTTGTTTTTTTTTTTTTTTCTGTTATTAAGGTTCAAATCTAATAGCATTATAATTATCGAATCTAAAGTTTAGATTTAAAAAAAACTAAATAAATTGTAAAAACTTTTTTTTTTAAATCGTCGAGTGACTTTTTGCACGGCGGCTACGATACTGTCTGTTTGCTCTTTACGGTTTCCGGACCGAGATCAAACATTTATCTATAAGTACCTGCAGCGGGCAACCCGTTAAACCTATTTACTCATTAACATTGTTTGTCGAAAAATATTCGGTAACGCGACCGCAACACTGTCGCGACGATTTCCGATTGGTGTGTAATGTTCGCGCGCCGCCGTCTATTATTACAAAACCGAACCGTTATGTAAATAAATGTGTACCCAACTCACAACTATGATGTATAATCTGCGTTTTATTATTATTATTGTTTTTTTTTTTGTAAAATAAAAATGTTTTTTAATCCATCCGTATTTGATCGTCGTAGCTGGTTCGCGTTACAACTGCTCTTATCGTCGTATACTATAATTATTTTAGACTGTAATAACGTTATTGTAATAGGTATTGGTTTTTTACAATCATTATTATTATTATTATTATTATTTTGTCCGACGGGCCGTGTTGCCGAGATCAGTGTTTCGCTGTGTATCATTATGTACCTACATATATATATATATATATACATATACACGTGTAAATAAAAGAAAAAATTAAAAAATTAAAATTGCGTCCCGTTGTATTTTCACTGTTTGTACGTACACCGTTATTGTGTACGCCGCCGCGTGTACAGCGACGAAATGTCGTAATGAAAAAATCAAATCGCAAATTACGTACGTAAACACTCTTGTTTTCGTTTCGGCCCCGCGCGGCCGCCGACACCAACACGCACCCGACGCTCGCATAATGTTCTCGACCGGGGCGGCTGATCGTCGCCGCTGTTGGCGGTTCGTTATCGTAACGCGCGCCGTTCTGCGTTGTAGGACACGAGTCCGCGCCGCGGATTAAACGCCGCCGTTAATATTCGCGTTTGTAAAACCAATACAGAAAAAAAAAACAAAAACGAAAACGAAAAAAGGTTTAGAAAAAAAAACCGCCCGGAAAGATTTTCTATAAGGGTGGGTTCCGGCCCCGCGCGAAAACACGGACTCGGCCTGCACGTTATAATGCGCACCGCGGTACGGTATTATTGTTATCGCAGTGGTCGCCCGCGGCACATGACTAACCGCGACGTTATTATTGTAACATAATGAAAGAAAATAGTAACGATAATAATTACGTACGCCGCCGACCGACGGGGAACCGCCGGTACAGCGCAACGTTGTGTTAACAGCAATGATTCGACCGCCGTCCCACGAGGATTTGTGCCGATGATCGTGTTGCGCGGCATTAAACGGCGGGCGGCTTTCGCAAAACAGCTCTCCGCGTACCCGTTAAACGTTTCAAACGGGACGAGTCGGGTATTATAATGGGTACGCCGCGACAAAACCGGCGAGCGAGCGGCGCCCGGACGTACGCCCACCAACCCGGGCGGTGGATAGTCATTTTCACCGTCGCCCGCGCGAACAACGCAATGCACGGGTTCGCGGTGTCGACTTGTATTTTTCGTTTTGTTATTATTATTGTTATTTTTTTTTTTTTTAAATTTTTTTTTCTACTAGCCATTTCTGACCCGAAGCGCATAACAATTCCAACGGGGTTGCTTAGCACGCTCAAAGTGTACATTTTTACCCAGTTGTCAAAAAAAAAAAAAACCGTTATTTTATTTCGAAAATAACTACAATATCAAATGTCACAAAATAGGTAGGATGTTATAATTTATCGATTGGATTTATAGTTAATCAATAATTGTCTTCAAATAGTTCACCAGACATTTCGATCATTATTTCAGTGCATTCCCGAATACGAGGTCGCAACTCAAAATGATTTGTAATAGAACGTTAAATGATTGAGCATTTGTTCAATGCTTCTCGAAGGAGAATCGAATTATAACCCATCAACCTGAGCACGCAACATTTGCACAACTTGATAAGCAGTGTGGACACTGCTAGGTAAGTATAATTATAAAAAAATAAAATAACAAAAGCTGTCCTATGATAATCCAATCGGTTGTAGCCACTCTTGTAGGTGAGAAGTTGCGAAGGTGGAATATAAACGAAAATTGCATGTATATATCTGTTAGCAATGATAAACCATCGCAAACGAAAACAAGATTCTGAGCGGAGTTTAGTTGGGCAGTGTTGCTTTGTCAACAATATTCATGTCATATTATGGTAGAATAATTTCATACGCATTAAACATCTTCTTAAATAATATTTTTTAATATCGTATCTATTTTCCCGTTTTCCCATATTTTTCCACTTTTTGGGAAAATTCTTTGGAAAATCAAAAAGTTACCTCCCTAAAGTTAAATCTCCTGTTTGGAAAAAGTACTATCATTAAAAATCGGAGCAACATTGCTGGTAGAAAAGTTATCCACAGAAAAAAAACATAATACAAAAATAAACATCAATATAAAACCAATACATTCCTATCGCTAAAAATAAAACAATGAAATCGTTAAGGTCTTAAACGTTCAGCATTTCTTACCTTTTTTTTCCCAATTATCAAGAAAATTACAAGTAAAAAAATATAACATTGTTCTCCCTAAATAGATCCGAAATTCTGAAAAAAAAACACTCTCTTGTCAGTATTTGATTGGAGCAAGATTTCTGGTAGAAAATATGTTCACAGACATACAAAAAAACAAACACACACACATCATAATAAAACGAATGCATTCCTCGTTCCACTTTAAAATTTCAAATTAGTTAATAAAACCAATTATTTATACAAACGAGTAGGACATATTGTGTTACCTCAATAATAAGTACCAAAAGTCGTTTACTATTACAGTATAATATAATTCTATATAATATTTAATTCAAAAATCAGGTAATCTGTAATCCCTGTTAAAGGACTCGTCTTTCATTAAAATGTATGATACACTTACTACCTTATACCTACGTGTGCAGTATATTCTCATGATTTCTATAAACATAATAAACATAACGTATCGGCGTTACACGTTACAAATGACCCAGGGGCGGTAAATTGGGAGGGAGGAGATAAGAGGTATATTCCCCCATAACATTATCCCCTCCAATATTTATTATAGTACAATATATGGTACAAACCATTTATTTATGAAAAAAAATACATATAATATATTACGGAGACGAGATGTATTTCTTTTATGAAAAATTACGTTAATTTGTTGGAAATAACTTTGAAATGTTAATAACTTTGATATACTTAAATAATATCCAACCAAGGATTTGATATTATTTTGTTTATGAATTCTACGTAATGAGTAGTTGCATAATTTGTATAGCAATATCAGAAATTTTCTTATAATTTCGAGCACTTCACATACTAAATAATTTACTATCCCAAAAACCTGAAAGCTCCAAAAAAAAAAAAGAAAATCAATCTCGGTCGCGTCTGTGTGTATAATATACTCGTATGTGAAATATCGATCCATAGATATATAGATAGCAGGTAAAATCAGAATCAATATTATGTTGGTCACTCTTTTTTATAGATTATGCTCCCTAGCTATAATACTTACAATATTTATCGGCCAATAGTTTCAAAACACAATTGTTTTGTAAAAGTTGAAAACTGGTACGCAAATGTAAAGACGCATTATGTGTTAATTCTCTCATAATGTTTAATGTGAAAAATTGGCACGCTGCTGTATATGAACAAAATATGATATCATCGTGCGTTGTTGTTAAAAGTTTAGACGATTAAAATAATTTGTATTCAATGTTATTTGACACGTTGACAGTCGACGTTATAAATAAAATAGGTTCGGTAATATTTGGTTACGGATTATGATTTTTTTTTAATATTATTATTATCGAATCTATAAAGTTATTTGATATGCTGATGGCCTGAGGACGTAATATATATTTTTACGGCTTATTTTTTGTGTACATCACTCATGATATTCTATAGCAGATATTGTGTTTCGGGAAAATAAATTGTCGACATTCGATCCAATATTTATAATACAATTTCGGACTTTGATTTATAAACGAATTATACGAAAATACATCTTTTATATAAATAAATATTATTTTATTAAAAAACAAAAAACTAAATATAGAATTTATCGATTGAAAAAAATGATAATTTAGATACCATGGTCGGTGTCGGCCGTTTGAAATAGATTACTCGAACTAAATGTAAGAGCCGATTTCGCCAACAACAGACCTTAATCACGATTCACGCAGCTAACCGGAGATTTCGGATTTTACCGCGATTTCGATTAAGCGTAACCACTGCGTAATCACGATCAAGAACAAACGCCTAAAAACTACTACTAAAAAAAAAAAAAAAAAAAAACATCGTTGCAATATCAATGCACTCGAAATCTAAAATATTAACTGGTGTAACTGTTATACCTACCGTAACATGTACAATACACTTGCAGTTGTTACGTGTCGTTTTAGCTAGGTGTATTAGATAATTATTAGGTACCCATACACCGACACAATAACGAAAATAGACGAGCCAATTAATCATTTTAAATTGGTATAGCTACGCAATTATACAGTTATAGTTTCATATACATACATACACGCGAGTATTTATGTGATAATGCATGTCTGCACCGGATAAATCTATGAAAAATCAAACAAAATAAAATAATATATACGGAGGAAAACGGTATTTTCGCAAGCTCGGAACTTGGACATGAATATTCGCTATGTTTCTATGTGCTTTCAATTCGGAATGAAATAACTGCGCCCGGATCACGAGATGCGACGTCGGTATCGGACAGAATTGTATTTATACAGGGTGATTATTTTATCTCGTATCAGCAGCGATTGTTCATGGTCATTCGACATCGAACAGACAAAATCATACTTTAAACGTTTAAATCTACTGCAGTTTTCCAATCCGAATAATATTGAACAAAATACAGATAATATGGGGGGGGGGTAACAGTGACGAATAACGGGCAACATAATATAGCTGCGGCCGTAGTTTTTTTCGCGATAAAATAAAAAAAACATCATGACAATTTGAAGTCGGCTAGAAGTATAAATTTTATTATTATACATACGGTGCAGTACTGAGACCAATTGATTGAAATTCAAATCGAATTTCGAAAAATACCGTTATAATCATTAGCTCGTTTACTCCACCGGATGTTTATGCGAATTGACCGTAAAAACATAATTGTCTGCTGCAGTGAAAACCTGTTTAAGTTTAACTAATCACGGCAATTGTTTAACGATAAAAATAATTAACTAGGCAAGGTTAAGTGCAAACGAAATTAATTTTTATACTGTAGTTAATTAGCCGACTATGGAAACGGTAAAGCGCAAAAGCCCATAGTGAACGCGTAAGCAACAACATCGTAGACAACGTACTGCGACGGTGTGTAGAAAGACAAACGACCGGAACCATTTTCGATACCGCGGTTTGTGTGCGGCGCGCGATCATTATTATTTCTCGGGGGAAAACTCAACGCGGCGCGGACGCGTTATCCATACGCCTACCATTATGATTACCGTTATTGTTGTTGTTGTTGTTGTTGCTGTTGTTGTTGTCATCGTCGTCGCGCGCACGCGGTGACGACCCGGTTTACTCCGGGTCGGCGACAGTATCCG